TTTGCCTCTCTGGCGAGCACACGCCCCCTATAGCAAAAACCTCCCCCAAAAAAAAAATTAAAAAAAAAAAAAAATAAGCAAACCAACAAAAGAGAAAAGCCCAGTGGTGGTGGCACAGGCCACTGCATTTATACTAGAGCTATGTGGAAGGTCCACGGTCAGATCCTGGGTCATCCTGAACATGCCGGGTACGTTCAAGTGTGCCAATCCTGGCTGACTAGGAGGCTGGGGGAAGGATCATGGTGTGGCAAGACACTGTCAAAGGTTAGCCCAACCAAAGAAATAAAAATAAACTTTAGGGGCCAGCAGGTGGCACAGTGGATGGGGCGCTAGACTGCCACATGGCCAGTGGCATTTCAAATCTTGGACCGGGTGGCTTGAAACACACTGGACGTGTTCATGCATGCCCCAAATCACAAGAGGAGAATGTAGGAGGGATTACGGCATGGTCATCAGGGGGTGATGTCTCACTTCTCTTTCTGTCTCTCTCCCTGTGTCTTCAGTGAGCATGTGTGCCCTAGAGCAAAAATCCCCACCCCCCAAAATAACATAAAATAAACTTTAAAAAAGGGCTGTCCCATAGCACAGAGGTTTAAGCCCTGTGTATAGGAAGTTGGATCCTGCATGGCTGAAGACTACTGGAATTCCCGTCCCTGAAAGCTTGAAAAATATACTGGGCATGTGTGTGTGTATGCCCAAAATCCTGATAGGATAGAGAAATGGAGAAAAAAGATGGTGGCATGACCACATCCTATTAGGGGTTGCTTTCTCTCTCTAGGAAGCACATACACCCTCTAGTAATTATAATTTTTAAAAGAGCCATGGAAGCAGCTCTTGGCTAATCTCTTATCTTCCTTTCAGAGATGGGGGCATCAAAGCCATGTATTAATGTCAGTTTTAATGCCTTCTCCAGGCACAACAATGGGAGAACTGGAGTTCCCACCCAAGTAGCCTAACTCTTCATACAGTGCTCTATCTGAGTCCCACAGAGACAAAAGTACAGGAGTGGAAGTGTGTGGGAGAGGATAGGGCTAGGCTGTATATACCTGAAAACTAGGGCTAGAGGCCCGAGTGCAGAGAGGAGGGAACATGAGTATGTGGTAGAGGGTGGTCCGGGGCAGACACCGCAGAGTCAAGGTTGGGAACGGAAGGCAGCATTAACTAACTCAAGCCTAGCTTGGCCTGGGCAGGTCTTTGAAGTCACAAAAAACTGTGCTCACTCTACTGTTCTCTGCCTGTCCCCAGTATGCACAGGGCGTAGGAGTAATCAGGACAAGAGGATCAAGTATGGGATGAGCTCAGGGCAAGTACCTGGCGAGCCGCCTCCCGACACTTCTGTATGGAAATTTCATCTGGCTCTCCCTGGTACTCCGGCACTTATCAGGGAAACAGACACACAGAGAGTCAGGTCACCAGAAGACAGAGAAACCGAACCATCTTTTAAAAATAAAACAAAACAGAGACATACGGTCAATTTTCTGGGCCACCAAAGTGCATGGAAACTTATCTCCTAGAATCTGAATGACCTGTTCCAAAAATGAAAGAAGATTTATCACCATCTGCTAATGATTCCTCATTACTATGTGAGCTGTCATCCACCATCCTCACCAAATACCTCTCCTACCAGCCTCCTAAAGCTCACCAAGTCAGGCCCATGAGCCTCATCCTAACCTTCATGATCCCATCTCACAAGTCAACCATACCACCTCCTTACTCCCCTACCTCTCCCACAGAACTGCAGTACCCTAGCAGGGATTCCCCAGAATTCAGGAGGTTTACAAATATGGACGTGGAAAAAATACTTCTTGGGACCAGCAGTTAGCGTAATGGCTGTCGCTGGACTCCCATGTAGTCGACCATGGTTCGAGTCCCGGACCCAGTAGCTTAAACTCACATTGAGTGCATGTGCGTGTGTGCCCAAGATCCCAGGAGGAGAATGGAGGAAAAGGGATTGTTGTGTGGCCATCCCCCCTGGGGGGTGACTTCTGCTTTCTGTCTCTCTGGTGAGCACACGCGCCCTATGGCAAAAACCTCTAAAAAGGAAAAAATACTTTTTTATTTTCATTAACCCCTAATTAAAATTTAGCATCTTTTGGGGACCAACAGTTAGCATAATGGCTATGTCGCTGGACTCCCATGTAGTCGACCGCAGTTCGCGTCCCACACCCGGTGGCTTAAACTCACACTGGGTGCGTGTGCATGCGTGCCCAAGATCCCGAGAGGAGAATGGAGAAGGGGTTGCGGCGTGGCCATCCCCCCTGGGGAGTGATTTCTTGCTTTCTGTCTCTCTGTCTCTCTCTGTCTGGTGAGCCTCCATGTCCTATAGCAAAAACAAAAAAAACAAAAAAAAACAAAAAAAATAGCATCTTTTCAATTATAAATATATAGAATAAACCAAAATAGTACTAGTAGTTCCTATGACTCTGTAACATACCAAAATCACACATTTTGGGCCAGCAGGTTGTGTGATGGTTAAGGCAGCTGGATGGCCAATGTGCAGTTCAGGTCACAGAACTACTGCCTTGAAAACCACACTAGGTTTGGGCCAAGACGTAGTGTAGTGGTTAAGGTGCTAGACTCTCAAATGGTCAACAAAAATTCAAGTCCCAGACTCAGTGGTTTAAAAATCACATCTGGTATGTATGCGTACATGCCCAAAATCCCAGGAGAATGGAGAAGGGATTGTGGTGTGGCCATCACCTCCCTAACCCCAGCCTGGCAAGCACATGTGCCCTATGGCAAACATTTAAAAAGAGAGAATGGAAAAGTGAGAAAGCAAGCCGCCAGGGCCAGGACTCGAACCGTGGTGGGCCATGTGGGAGTGTCCAGCACCTTATCTACTGCACCATCTGCTGGTCCCCCCTTAATGCATTTTTAATAAAAGTATATCTGAATAAGGCACAAATTTTTTTTGGGGGGGAGGAGTGGTTTATTTTTTCTATAGGGTACATGTGCTCTCCAGAAAAAGACAGAGAGATAGAAAGTGACAAATCACCCACGGTGTGTGTGTGTGTGTGTGTGGCCACACCACAATCTCTTCTCCTCCATTCTCCTCTCGGGATCTTGGGCACGCACACACATGTGCCTGATGTGAGTTTAAGCCACCAGGTCCAGAACTCGAACCGCAGTTGACTACATGGGAGTCCAGTGACATAAGTATTACACCAAATGCTGGTCCCAAAGCATAAATATTTTTTTTTTTTGGAGAGATTTTCACTGTAGGGCGCGTGCGCTCGCCAGACAGACAGAGAGAGACATAGAGACAGAAAGCGAGAAATCACCCCCCAGGGGGGATGGTCACGCCGCAATCCCTTCTCCTCCATTCTCCTCTCAGGATCTTGGGCACGCACGCACACGCGCCCGGCGTGAGTTTTAAGCCACCGGGTCCGGGACAAGAACTGCGGTCGACTACATGGGAGTCCAGCGACATAGCCATTACGCTAACTGCTGGTTCCCAAAGCACAAATATTTTTAATGTTTGAGAATTGATAAAGCTGATCATTGTAATCCTTTGTTTTGGGGTATTTTTTTGCACATTTGAAACGATTTTTCTGAGAAAGGAGCTATAGGCTCTATCAGTCTGCCAATGAGATACCATGGGATGAACAAAAGAGCTGACTCCCTATTCTAGGTTAAATTCAAGTTCATCTTCTCTAAGAAGTCTCCCCTGGCGGGGCCAGCAGTTGGCATAACGGCAATGGCGCTAGACTCCCATGTAGTCAACCGTGACCAGTGGCTTAAACTTAAACTGGGTGCATGTGTGTGCCCATACCCCCTAGGGGTGATTTCTCGCTTTCTGTCTCTTTCTTGCAAGCACACACACACCCTATAGTAAAAACTTCTCAAAAAAAAAAAAAAAAAAAGTCTCCCCTGGCCACTCCAGCTCCGTCTTTAAAGGCGAGGGGGCCAGTCTCAGCCAGAGCTTTGGGTCTGGCACCTTGAAGGAAGCCCATGCTGGCACATCTATCTGCTTGACTGGGTGGGCTTCAGGATCTCGAAGCTTTATCAACACAGGGCTCTGGCTCCTGAGAAGGCCATTCTGTCTAGCATATGCTACGGACAAACGAAGGTTCCCCTAATAACTGTGCCCTACCAATCTGTCTCAGACATAGCCAGTGGGCATCATCCTCTGATTCCCCACACGTGACCCCACCTCCTTGGCCATGGCTTGACTCAAGCAAGGCCAATCAGAGCGGAAGTCTGGCAAAACCTTCACTGTCCCCTATGCCTGTAGAAAAGAAAGCAGAAAGACACCAGTAGGATTGAGGATAAGCATCCAGAGAGAATCACAATAATAGGCAAGCTCTTGGAGGGAATCCTTGGGTCCCAAAGGACACCTTAACATAGTATTACCACCAGTCGCCCTGTGTGTCTCCGTTACCTACAGCCAGAGATGTTCTATACACCTTCCGAATTCTGGTTTGGGTTCTAGCTCAACAGGTGACCTATGGACAGTGCTAAAGGCCCCACCACTCCTCGGGCTCCCGCCGGCGTGACCTCACAAGAACTGTGCAGGATCTGCCAGGGTCCTTGTCCCCTTGCCAACCCTAGGCCGCCCCCATCTCCCGGCCATTCCCTACCCGCGCCGCACTGCCCCTCCGGCCCAGTCGGTGTCCACCCATCCTTCTGGGCCGAAATCTCCATTGTCTCTCCCCTCCACTTCTCCCCGCCCGGAAGCCCCTTCTCCGCTAGGTTCCTGGCCACCTCCCTGTCGGTCCCCGACCCCGCTCCCGGCACCTCTTCCAGCTTCTTGGCGTTTCCCGTGACAAACACGATCTTCTTTCCGAGCAAGGAAGCCGCCATGGTGACCCGAGATACCCCCAAGAGCCACCGGAAACCTCACTACGTGGTGGCAGGACACTTCCGGCTGGCGGCGGAAGGGGGAGGCCTGACTTCCGGCCGGGGGTCCCGAGGACTTCCTAGAGCATCACGGCGTGTCGAGGGCCGCACGGAAGATCTCTCCGCCGCCTGGGCCGAAGCCGCCTGGTCGCCGCCCGCCTGCCAGCCTGGAATCCTGAGTCAGAACCAGCGATCCCGGCCCCCCCCCCGCCATGAGCAGCGTGGGGCGCCGGGCGCTGGCGGCCCTCTGCACCCGAATTGCCCGGGGCTTCCCGAGGCTGGAGGTTGAGCGCCCGGAGACCCGGCCCACCCTCCCAGGGACGCTGTTCGAGTGCTGGAAGAGACCGCTCCCAACCTGAAGCGGGAGAAAGTTTGAGGCTAGAGGCGGGTAAGGCGGCTGGAGCATCCGCCTAAGTAGCCAGACAGAAAACTCCCGGCCCAAGGTAAAGCGGACACGTTACCAGTGGGGGATGTCTAGCTGATTAAGCCACATTAGCTAGAGCCAGCAGATGAATCAGGGG